AGAATAATTGACAGTTTCTGCCAATTCTCTCTGGAATATACACAGAGAGATGAAAACCATGAACCCCTAAGTCCCCATCACACAAGTGAATAAGATTCTGGTTTTGTTGCCTCTCTGTGTTGTGTTGTTGGGTTTGCAAGAGCGTTTTAAGTCCTCACGTCAGTCACGGACACTTCCCTGTGCTCTCTGAGGAGGACATCTGTGGTCACCTCCCCACAGGCACTGTCACACCTGACAAGGTGCACAGCGCTCCTCTCGCATCACGGAAAGGGCAGCCTGCGTCCAGATGGCTCTGGTTGACTGAAAAACATCTTTTTACCATTGATTTGTCCCTGTCGACTTTGAACAGATTGTGATTATATGAAAGTCTCCTTTTTTCTACCGTTTCATAACCTTAGGTTTGTTCTCTTCCCAGGCCATGAGTGCGGCTGTGTGCTTTATGATCGACGGTGGGTACGCGCCTTCGTCTCATTTCAGCCTAAGCTTTTTGTACTTTGCTGCATCCTGTTCTTATATGTTTTGGGGGTTTCAGTTGTTTGGGGTTTTTTTGTTTGAGACGGGGTTTCACTCTTGGAGCGCAGTGGCACGATCGTAGCTCACTGTAGCCTCGACCTCCTGCGTTTAAGTGATCTTCCCATCTGGGCCTCTCAGCTTGCTGGGACCTGCCAGCCCACACGGCCGCACCCAGCTAATGTTGTTGTTGTTGTTGTTTAGACAGGGTCTCGCTGTGTTGGCCAGGCTAGTGTCAAACTCCTGGGCTCAAGTGATCCCCCCACCTTAGCCTCCCAAAGTGCTGGGATTTCGGGCGGGAACCCCCACACCCAGCCCATTAAATGATAAATGTGTTGTCGTCAGCAATGTAGAGGCACAGAGAGGAGCCTGTTCCCCATCTGGGACCCCCCTGGCTCCTGAACTAGCCATTGCTCGTATTTTTTAAGTCCTAGTCGTCCCACTTGTCAGCAGAATGTGGGCATCTTTCTGTGCCCCGCCGACCGCGAGCTGGAGACAGCGGTGGCACCTCTCCCGGGGGGCTCTGAGGATGGAATGAGGTCGTGTGTGTGAAGCACCAAACAGCACCTGGCCCGTGAGTGCTGTGGAATGTTTGTTAAATACACACACGACCTTCTGAGGCGTTTCTGGGGTCGGCAGCCGTTTACCACCCCACAGGGTCCACCTCAGTCACCTTTCCACAGTGAGAGGTCTTTGCCTTTTTCCATCTCAAACGTAAGCGGTTTTCCATCTTCTGCTTCTCTTGTATTTGAGGAGCAGGAGGGGCCTGAGCGTTTCATCGTTTGCTTTCCCAGATCAGTGACGTTTTCATTTGAATACAGTTGTTCAGCATCGGACAGTCACATGAATCTTACCGGTTTGTTTTGTCATGACTTGCCAGCCTCTATCCAGCCAACGCTGGATTTTTGCCGAAGACTGGACAGCGTCGTCGGGCCCCAGCTCACGGTGCTGGCCTCTGACATCTGCGAGCAGTTTAACATCAACAAGAGGATGTCTGGGTTTGTACTTGGCTTTCTGTTCATGTTCACGCATTGAGCGGCTTTTAAAACACGTGTAGTTTTACTTACAGATGTGGGTGGTGGTAACAGTCCTGTGCTCTCGTGGGATCTAGAGAACGGTGATACGTGCCATTCAGGCCTGTTGGAAAGGGTCCTGGGGAAGCCGACCTGAGTTTTTCTGCCCCGTGATGGCAGCTGGGGCTGGGTCTTCTGTTAAATACCTTCCCTCAGCTCCCTGCTGATTGGAACATCCCATTTCACTGGCCCAGATGGTTACATTCACATGGGCAGTAGTCAGCATGGTTTTGGTGTGCGCAGACTGAAAGCATTTTGCCTCTCGTTGTGTGAAAATGTGTAGGGGAAACTGGCTGGGATGTGGGGCATTGGGCCTGGGTACTCAATGTGGCAGCCTGAAGGGTCTACACTGAGTGAGAGAAGCGGGATTCGCTCCTCCAACTCTCTAGACACTGAAACGTCCTTGAATTCTTCCTCCCTAGCTTTTGAGACAAAGTCTCACTCTGTTGCCCAGGCTGGAGTATGCAGTGGCCTGATCTCAGCTCACTGCAGCCTCCGCCTCCCAGGTTCAAGCGATTCTCATGCCTCAGCCTCTCGAGTAGCTGGGATTATAGGCATGTACCACCATGCCGGGCTAATTTTTATATTTTTAGTAGAGACAGGGTTTCACCATGTTAGCCAGGTTGGTCTTGAACTCCTGACCTCAAGTGATCCACCCACCTCAGCCTCCCAAAGTGCTGGGATTACAGGTGTGAGCCACAGCACCCGGCCTTCCCTATCTTTTCTCAATATAAAATAGTTATTATAAAGTGAAAAGTGAGGACATGGAAAGCCCTTTGCGAAGTTGAGTCCTGCTTTTAAATGGGCTCTCTACACATTGGAGAAGTTACTAAAATACTGTGCATTTCTGCATAAGCTCATGTTCTTAGTGTTCATATGTTGTTGTTTTGGGTTTTCTTTGAGATGGAATCTCGCTCGGTCGCCCAGGCTGGAGTGCAATGGCACGATCTTGTCTCACTGCAACCTCCACCCTCCCAGGCTCAAGTGATTCTCCTGCCTCAGCCTCCGGAGTAGCTGGGTGCCATCATGCCTAGGTAATTTTTTATTTTTGTAGAGATGGGATTTTACCATGTTGGCCAGGCTGGTCTTGAACTCCTGACCTCAGGTGATCCACCCACCTAGACCTTCCAAAGTGCTGGGATTATAGGCATGAGCCACCAGTAGCTTACATGTTGACAGTGCTGCTGAATCATTGAATTCTTTGGCCATGAAAATACCAGGTTTTCCTTTGTGAAGGAGGCATAGTGAGTTAAATCGATTTGGATCATGCAGGTTATCAACTAACAGATGGAAAGACCATAGAGAACGTGTCACCTGTTGTTTTTGTTTTTTTGTGGGTTTTTGGAGACAGGGTCTCCTGCTGTTGCCCAGGCTGGAGTGCAGTGG